CATGTGTCAAATAAACTTGATTAATCGATTTGATTTGATTGAAATCTTGCCCTCAATAAATAGATAAGCCTAATTCATTCATTCATTCACACTTCACCAGTGCTCCCTTCAGTCAAAGAAAGTCCATTTATAAAGCTTTATAGCTGTGTTTCAACATGGCTATATTAGAGTTTGCCATGCTTTTTTGTAAATACAAGAAGTCAAATTTGCATCTCAATTAATACCAATTAATACCAATTAGACAAACAATCAGTAACTTGTAATGCATGTCTGACTGTGGGCCTAGCGTTAATTTCATCACCCTCTATCACAACACCAACACAAATCACTGAAATATATAGATGTAACTCCTGGAGCAGTATCTACTAAGTGAACAACAGGTAACAATGTAGTGTATTTCATTGATTGATAGTCGGTTGTAGTAGAGATACGTTCTGTTCTCTTGCGGATAGCCGCACCAGTCCAAACTGCGTTATAAAAAAGTGCAAATTAAAACCCAAATCGCTCGGCGACAAATGTAGACGCTTTGAAGGACATAATTTGAGAAGAGGGGGATCCCTTAAGATCTTCGGTTGAATTCGGCTACCTTAACACACAAGAAAACCAATTTATTTCACTCACATTTCGACTTTTACACTTCACCATAGCGTTAAGTTAGATTAGCTAACGTTAACGTAAGACTGCTGCGCCACAGTGACAGCTCACACAGATGGAAACTGCTCCTTTGTAACGATAAAAGCAATAATTAAGGGTCTTAATGTAACTCCCAGCGTTAATTGCGATGATCATGACACTTTATAAGGTTGCCCCGTTACGGAATGTGACACCTTGGCCGAACTTGAAGATGAACTGACCTGGCAACCCGAGAGGTCTGCTGAACAGCTGAACCAGCAGAACCTTCAAACCGAGCAGATAAAGTTTGACAATCGGTAGCAGGTGAGACCAAAAGGCAGACAACATCTCTGCCCGGTGGTGTAACGGAGCGAGCAGCGCGGAGAGGAGGAGCCGCTCCGTAGGGAGGAGGAAAGTGCAGCACTTCCGTCTACGGGACGCGTTCCGATATGAAGTCCTCCATCCTCGCTTCCTCCCTTGTCGTACCTTTCTGTAAATACTTACTAAGAAAGAGAGTGGAGAGAGTTATTTTCTATTCAAACTGAAGCCCAGCAGTGAAGTGGTGCTTAAAGAAGTGGGTATATTCTTAATGTATTCCTTTTTCCCTTTCTTCCCCTTTTTGTATTTTTTTTTTAAAGCAGACCATCCAGCAAAGGACAAACGCCCTCTTGCATATTTAGCTCACCCGAAAATGGGCCAGTAGTATTTGCACATTGTCACTTCGGCTGCCTGACTTCAGGGAGTAAGGATCATCATAATAAATTAAAATTAGCCAGAAAAGAGGTGCAGATCAATACTGACAATATTGAGAGAGACAATTGCATAAAATTATGCATTTTGATTGAAATATTCCTTATTCCTTACGCCACGAACTGGACAACTGACTGTATATCATGCCTTTGCTATCCCAGGGAAACACTAGGCTACTTAATGCTGCACATCAGAGATTTAGAATTGGGTATATACCCAATGCCAACTGAAATTATCCGTATACCCTGCACTACATCACTGCTAAAGCCTATTTTAAATGTTCTTCTTGAGCTTGCCTTCTTGACTAATTGTTCTGACAGCTCACTGACTTGTTGACCTTGAACAAAAAAAAAAAAAAAACACATCTCTTGCAGCTATCCATCATTTATCTGTAAAGGTGGAATTAGTGTATGATGGAGGGGGCTTGTCGCTGCTGCTTGGCTGCTTGATGTGCCGTATGATCCTTTTCTGTAGATCCAGCATATTGCTCCCTTCAGCTCACTGATATCTTATTAACTGCTGCCAGACACACACGGCAGAAGCAACAGAGGCATGACACACTAGTTTGAGGATATATAGGCTTTAAGAACATGTTTCGGGAGCAGTACAGCTCCTGTCTGCAGCTCCCAGCTGCAATTTGGCTGACTGGTGTATGTTAGGCTTCCCTCTCCTGGGATCACTTGAGTCCATCACACCAGTCTACTCTTATTAGAGGCTAGTCATGCTGCTGTGATAATTAGTCAAACAGGACCTCAGCTGTGAAAATCATGACATTTTCTGCCATTTGAGCACAGATTCTTTGATTTAATCAGCACAAAGTTTTCCATAAAAAATGCACAAGATTTAATGATTAAAAAATAGTTCAATCTACATATATTTTTCATGTTGGGCTACAATGTTTTGATAAGTAAATAACTTAAAATAAAAATGTATAGCACGTAACATAACAGTGCTGATTACAGCTTCAGTAACAGAGTGAAATCATTTTCCACTTCTAGATATGAGCTGCTGACACTTCATGTCACACATGATGACTTCCAATCAGTACATGCTGTGAACAGCTGATAATGAACATCTTGGACCGTTTCACTGGGCTTAAAGAATAAAATGTCAAGAGGACATTTTTTAATAATTTAATAATTTTATCTTCTGAGGCTTACCCCATTGCCTGCAGCTAACTTTTGTCACTTTCACCTCAATCCCCTGCCGCTTTGGTGAACAGTGATTCGCAGTTGTTTCAGTGCCGGAGTGATCACATTTTGCCAAGATGCTAAAAGACTTCACACATCACATCCAGAAAGTTTCTATCTGTATATAACTAAATGGAACATTTTCATTGCATGAGCGGCTATATCAAATACAAAGAGCAGCCAAATAAAGCCAGACTTCTCTGATGAGAGCATCCTTGTAAATATATGCATATTGGTCGGGGTTTTACACAATTAATGAAAGTCATTCACCCACCTGTTTTTGAACAAGACATACCCTCCTACAAAAGCTCAGCTGAAAGTGGTTACACGCTCTGAGTAGTTACATGAATGCCCCGATGTGTGTAATTGATGATTGTGCAGCTATCAGGCAGTGATTAAAAGCGCAAAGTTGTCATTCAACCTTTTCATCTTGGATGAATGTTTATTTCAGTCTCTTGGAAATAGCATGAAAGGACACCTGCTGTGCTGAGTCACCTTCCCATAGCAAAATGTTAAAATGCTAATGGCCATCATTAAATCAATTCGACTTGTGTGAGAGTGAACACTGATTAAGGGTAATCACTCAATCTACATCTGGTTGCCGTTTTATATAGATTGACATGTACGAGTAGCTTTGCATTTCGTGGGAGGCCGTTCAGTTTGCATTGTATGATACGCATGATGTGTCTATATAATACCATGATATATATATTAAAAAACCAGCAGCTCCTGACCTCTTTGGCTTATGAAAAAAGTGTCTAGTTGGGACCCCTTGTCGTCTTTAAGATTCCTATAAGTTGCTAGCAGCTCCACCAGGAAGATATTTCCCATCCCCACTTCCTCAGATGGTCCAAAAAAGTCCACTTAATTAAGATTTGTGTAGCAGAACTCTATCTTCATCTTCTTCTTTCCTACCCCATTATTAATCTTGCAACATCTCAGATTTAATGGAAACCACTAAATACAGCGTATTAACTATGTAAAACTAGCTCCACCTTGAATATCAGATACGCATTGATCTAACAATGTGATATATAATAATAAATGGTCACATGGGCCATTTTCTTGCAGAATGAGTAGTTTTTAATGTTTTAATTTTGCTGATAATACTTCTATACTTTCACTTTTAATTAGGGTTTTGAATTGGGGATTATACTGTACTTGTAATGGAGTATTGGGATCAGATTACTGTGTACTATAGTATTATCACATTCAACAAAAAAGGTGGATTAAAGTGGAGCTTGAGCAGTTACAGCCACAGTGGCTGGACAGACAAGTAAAAAGACAAATTGTATCTCACAATTCAACAGAAAATCCTGTCACAGGACCGGCCACAACATTTGACTGACAGGTGACTGACACGCAACACAGGACTGATCGCTTCACTCAAAAAGAATGTCACAAAATCAGAAGATTTTCACCCAAATGTAGGAGTTATGCTCTTGTCTCTACAACACAAATCTGAACAGACGGCACACTGCTGTGATGGATTGTGTTTGGCTAGCAGGGCAGCGCCAGCTGAATTATCACTGGCACTCAAAGTAGGCCAACCAAAGTCTCCAAGTCCTTCATTTCAACTAAATTACAATCATCTATGTTAAAGACAGGTCTGGGGCATTCACAATCACTTCTCCTTTTTTATTTTTTGGCAGGGAAATCATTAGTATTAGTTTGCGTCTTGCTCGCTATCCAATAGTTGAGGTCAGGCGAAAGCAGCAGTGCCGACAAGCAGTTGGCCCTAGTTATTAAAGCTGCTTAGAAGGCGGTTAAATGAGCAGCAACATAAAGAGACTGTGTCATCATCACCACTGCTCTGATGAGCCTGAGCTGTGTGTATTTAAATGCGCACATGTTGCTATTAATGCAAGCTGAGAGGATGTGTGTGTGTTTGTGTGCATGTGTGAGTGTGAGTGCAGCCTGAGAGGTTGGGGGTCACCGAGGCGAGCTGGCCTGCTATTGTTTAAAGGAAATCGCATCTCACGCATGACTATGGGATGATTATTTGGGATGATGGGACATCAGGGAGACAGTCCTTTACACACATGATCACACACAAATGAAGACGTATGTACGCACACACAATACATGCTGGGAACAGGACATGACAGGAGGGTGTGTGATGTAAATAACATGTGAACAGCATCCAAATAGCTCCAAACAACAGTCACCTAGTCTTATATGACAACCACTGACTGGCTGCAAAGCCCAACTTGTCTTATTTTGTAAATCCAGGCTGACAACAGCTCTACGGGATCTGTGTGTGTGTGTGTGCTGCCTGTTCAAATGTATTCATTATTTCATGTTTCACATATTATTCCTGGTGAGAAGAGAAGGTAGATGATATTGGATATTTTTAGCAGAAAATGCCACTAACAGTTTTCAAATAGGACAGTTTTGACACACTTTTCTTTAACACTTTATACCCCACGTTTGTTTTTGTTGCTGATCAGCTGCCACCCGGGGGCATGGCAGCTGAAGTGTCATATTGTGAAGAAAGGGGATTTTCCGGGTGTGTCACAAGCAGTTTGGGCTCCAAAGTGCAACAGATTGTGTGAATTGATGTTGTTTTTTTCTTTCAGTTTGAGCCGCCTATTTCAGAGCTTTTCCTCAGAAGCCTTCTCCATCTAAGAGGCAGACAATCAAAGATGGACTCACTCAGAGCTGCAGGCTATGCAGTGCCCAGCCCCTAATGAGACAGCACATATGTATTTATATGTAGGAAAGAAAGAAAACCCATGGGGAATGCCTTATTTTGCAATCTGAAGCACAGAGGTCTGTATGCACCTATATTTGAAATAGAGAATATCTGGTGCGTGTAAATAACAGCGTCTTATGTGCATGTGCTGAGCAAACCACTATGTCCTTATATCACTCTTGATGTACAGTATGTGTGTCAGATGTTGTCATGTTGTTTTGAAAAGGGGAATCAGTAACACCACTGTTTCTGGCAAAAGTGGAAAGTTGTAGCGAGAACACTTGGTCAAGTACTGAACTGAAGTTCAATTTTAAGCTAATGACCACTTCTTAGTTTCTTGCAATAGTCAATAATTTTTACTTTTGGATTTATTGGACTTTTTACTTCAGTACATTTATCTGACAGCTGTCAACAACTGTTTTTACTAACAAAATTATAATGCTAATGCATCAGTAATTTAACAAGGAGTACTTTTACTCAGCACTTAAAGAAAACACCTACCAGCACCTGTAAGCTCACTAATTAACACATATCTCGCTGGTTTATGTGCTGGAACTATTTGTGCTGGGCTGAGAAACAGTTTCATCATCAAACTCCTTGTAAAAGCGCAAATTCTCGTTCTCACATTTTAGTTTGTGTACGGATTAAACAAAGGAGACAGTGTGTTAATAGACCCTTTTCATGGCTTGTCAACGCAGGAAAAGCACAGGTGGAATTAATAACACCCAGCAAGAATGTGAGAGAGAGATGTGAGGAAGAGATGTGAGGACAGAGAAGTCAGAGGTACCAAGTGAGAAATCCTTATTTCCATTCTGTAGCTCTACTGTGCTTCATGCCTTTTGATTAAGACTTGCGTGTAGGC